AAGTAATGCAATGGTTTCTTATTTTACATTTAGCAATAAGTTAGATAGACAATCTTTATCATGAAAAAGAAAACATTTCCAAGATCCAGTAACGATGTAGCAGAATATATAGGCACAGTCGTCTGTATTAAAATACAGTTTATCCCGTTATTATTACAAAAAAATATGAAACTATTTCACACGAAACTAAACTGCAGTGATTACAAAAAGAATTATCAACTCAAAAACCCTTAGCAAGATATTAAATGACACAAGCCCATTTACTCGTCCTGCAATCTACGCTGGGCTGCTGGGTCTTCATCGTACTATAATGATGAATTTAGCAGCGCAGCAGTAACCAAACTAAGTTGTATAGGTACATAGCTTTGCGTAAATAATGCATTAGTTTTTTTTTCTAACTACTCTAATGTTGTTGGCCGCAGCTGGACTTTACAGCTTTACGAGACGATAGAAAGCGAGTGCAGATGGCATAACTCCAAACCCGCGGATGGGCTTATGAAGCAGCTGAAGGCCAGTTCCCGTCTGACGGATATGACTTTAGTCTGAGAGCACCGCTAGTGAGTTTTGACGTAATTAAGACAACATCAAATCTTTCATTATCATTGTGTTGTTTGCGATCCCAATTATACAATAATTATAAACACTACTTATAATAATTATTACTAATTATAATTATATAATTATACTAATAATTATTATTATACTCTAATTCTAGGCTGCACAAACTGCACGTTGTATTTAACGCGTATGACGCATGGCGCTACACCTCCGTTTATCATGTTTCTATCATAATGAAGGACAGTATCTGGGTTATCTCGATGATTCACTATTATGACCAGTCTTTCTATTAAAGTTACGTAGAAAACCTTTTAGATAATGTTACAAACTGGACTGTGAAATAACGTCCATATTTATTCCTCAACCTCGTAGAGTATTTTAGGATTCTCTTATCTTAGCTCATTATCAAGTAAATAATACTGGTGTATAATTATAGATACACATAATATTGTAAATAAGACGTTCATTCTTTCTTGATAAAATAAACATCTTAATAGTGCCTATCACACCAAAGTTAAATTAACATTTTTAATTTTTTATCTCAATAAATTATTCTTTAAGAAAATAAGAGTTGCAAAGTATGCTAGGAAGCGCAACGTAATTAAATAATTCACATTCCAATTCGTAAGCATTACTTACTTATAAAGTAGTATGTAACTAAGTACGTGGATAATATTTTTAAGTTTACCCACATAATATGTATATAATACCCACTGTATATCTGTTTTGTACACATGTAGTGTTTCAATCACAATTCGCAGTTATACGTGCGCGCAGTAATGCGGTTCGCAGATCTGCGATTCAGCGAGTGAGTGTCACGCATACAAAATAAAATAATTATATCAATTCCAAACCCTTGTATGGCTTCAACGCCTTTTCGGCAAATGAATGGAATGTGTCACGGATATCCGGTGATTACTTTTGACATACCTATCAAAATACGTATGTCTTTAATAATTACTAGCTGTACCCGCGACTTCGTCCGCGTAAAATAGTGAACTTGACTAAATAATGAAAAAAATATTTAATGGTCTAACCCAATAAAAGCCTAATGAAAAAGTTTCATCATTTCATCTTCAAAAATGATACTTCCATACATAACTCTTTCAACCCCTTATAACTTCTTTTCTTAATATATATTTAATAAATAGGCTAAAAATTAAACTTCAAGCTTCTAGCTTTAAAAACGACAATATTTGCATGTAAACATTTGACTCTCTTTTAAATTCCTTACAACCCATTTTTCTTTATTTATATTTAATCAACGGCCTAAAAATCAGTTTCAGGTTTAGAAAATGGCGATTACAACCTTGCATCCCTTTCAATCCCCTTATAACCCTTTTCCACATTAAAAAATACCCTATATCCATTCTCAGGGTCTTCTAGATTATATGTTCTAAATTTTATTTAAATCGGTTCAGTAGTTTTGCGACATCCAGTCACACCCAGCCGGAACCGTAGGTCGGACAACCTCGTATGCATGGCATGTACCCTTTCAACCCCTTATAACCCTTCTATCGCATCCAAAAGTATCCTATGTGCTTTCTCAAGATCTAGACTAATTGTGTACCAAATTTCACTTAAATCTGTTCAGTAGTTTTGGCGTGTAAGTGAGACTGACAGACAGACAGAATTACTTTTACAGTTATAATATTAGTAAGGTATTTAATAAACTAACTAAATTCAATAAAAAAGTTTCATAGATCTGGCTCCAATAATGGCGAATTTACCTAAAATCTTTCGTCCCCTATTTTACTTTACCCCCTTAAGGGTAATTTTATACAAATTTTGAATGTCATATTCATTTATATTTAATCAACAGCTTCAAAAATAGGTTTCAAGCTCCTGGCTTCCAAAAAGACGAATTTACATAAAAACTTTCATCCCCTATATTGTTTAACTTCTTAAGGTTAACATTTTTATAAACTTTGATGGCCTATTTATTTATATTTAATCAACAGCCTCAAAAATAAGTTTCAAGCTTCTAGCTTCAAAAATGACGAATTTACATTAAAACTTTCATCCTCTATTTTATTTTACCCCCTTAAGGGTAACATTTTTACAAAATTTCATGGCTTATTCATTTATAGTCAGTCAACAGCCTCAAAAATCAGTTTTAAGCTTCTAGCTTCAAAAATGACGAATTTACATAAAAACTTTCATCCCCTATTTTATTTTACCCCCTTAAGGTTAACATTTTTACAAAATTTCCAGGCTTATTTATTTATAGTCAATCAACAGCCTCAAAAATCAGTTTCTAGCTTCAAAAATGACAAATTTACATAAAAACTTTCATCCCCTATTTTATTTTACCCCTTAAGGGTAAGATTTTATACAAACTTAGTATGTTATATTTATTTATATTTAATCAACAGCCTCAAAAATAAATTTCAATCTTCTAGCTTCAATAATAACGAATTTACATAAAAAAAATATCCCCTAATTTGTTTAACCCCCTTAAGGGTAAAATTTTTAAAACTTTGTAAGTCATATTTATTTATATTTAATTAGCAGCCTCAAAAATAAGTTTCAAGCTTCTACCTTCAAAAATGACGATTCTTCCATACAATCTTTCATCCCCAATTTCAACCCCTTACAACCCTTTTTTCGCATTAAAAAGTAGCCTATGTCCCTTCTCCTGAGAAGGGACATAAGCTACTTCTAGACCCTGGTCTAGACTATCTGTGTACCAAATTTCATGTAAATCGGTTCAGTAGTTTTGGCGTGAAAGCGAGACAGACAGACAGACAGACAGACAGAGTTACTTTCGCATTTATAATATTAGTAAGGATGGCCTATTTATTTATATTTAATCAACAGCCTCAAAAATAAGTTTCAAGCTTCTAGCTTCAAAAATGACGAATTTATATAAAAACTTTCATCCTCTATTTTATTTTACCCCCTTAAGGGTAACATTTTTACAAAATTTCATGGCTTATTTATTTATAGTCAATCAACAGCCTCAAAAATCAGTTTCAAGCTTCTAGCTTCAAAAATGACGAATTTATATAAAAACTTTCATCCCCTATTTTATTTTACCCCTTTAAGGTTAACATTTTTACAAAATTTCCAGGCTTATTTATTTATAGTCAATCAACAGCCTCAAAAATCAGTTTCTAGCTTCAAAAATGACAAATTTACATAAAAACTTTCATCCCCTATTTTATTTTACCCCTTAAGGGTAAGATTTTATACAAACTTAGTATGTTATATTTATTTATATTTAATCAACAGCCTCAAAAATAAGTTTCAATCTTCTAGCTTCAATAATAACGAATTTACATAAAAAAAATATCCCCTAATTTATTTAACCCCCATAAGGGTAAAATTTTTAAAAACTTTGTATGTCATATTTATTTATATTTAATTAGCAGCCTCAAAAATAAGTTTCAAGCTTCTACCTTCAAAAATGACGATTCTTCCATACAATCTTTCATCCCCAATTTCAACCCCTTACAACCCTTTTTTCGCATTAAAAAGTAGCCTATGTCCCTTCTCCTGAGAAGGGACATAGGCTACTTCTAGACCCTGGTCTAGACTATCTGTGTACCAAATTTCATGTAAATCGGTTCAGTAGTTTTGGCGTGAAAGCGAGACAGACAGACAGACAGACGGACAGAGTTACTTTCGCATTTATAATATTAGTAAGGAAGTAAGGATTACTGGAAAATACCTGTAAATTAAGTTTGATGACCTATTTATGAATTGGTTTTTATTTCATTAGTAGTCCAGGTTTTTTAAATTTTTCACTGATGTGTACGTATTATGTTTATCGTAGAAGGAAGTTATTATGCTGAGCTGATGATTGTAACAACATTAGTCGGTCCCGGTTAAGACTTAAGGAACAGAAGCTACTCAGTAACTACCCGTAAATAAATAATACTATGCTTATAACCATCCCGTAAGTGTAAGTAATATGTTAACAAAGTTTTAATGCAATGAGATCATTGGCATGGATACGCATAAAATGCTAACAAATAAACAAATATAGATTACAATATATAAGATAAACAAATAGCTACATAAAGAAACTAGATCGCAAAACACTGATAAGATTTGACTTTAAAAAGTTATGACATCACAATAATTTCAGCAGGTTCTTTATTTATTTATTCTTATTTGTACAATAAAACTGATAGAAAAGGTAATGTATTGTATGTAAGCGCTTATTGTAAATATTATTCATTCTATTTTTAAAGACTCCAAATTTGATTAAGATGACTCTTGCAAATTAGGTAATGATCCAATTACAATCTGCCTACGTGATATGAAAGTGCTCGTGGGCGTGCATGTATTAAGGCTTATGAAATTAAAATTAAATTTAATAAAATCCTTCGATGAACACACGTTAATAACTGACACTGAGTTTCAAAATCTAATATAAATAATTGTATTAAAATCTGTAAACACAATTAGCTTTAATATAAATATATCGTACTCACCATTTCGAGAGACATCTAGCTCGACTAAGTTTTCGAAATTTTGTATATCTGGTGGAAGTTTGTGTATTTCATTATCACTAAGACCTAATCTTCTTAATCGATGTAATCTGAAGAAATTCTGAAACAAACAAAAACATTGGTTACCGAATTGTATACATGTTTAACGTCTCGTAACCTGTTAATAATTCAATAATTACAACTCTTTACCCTTTAGAATATTTGGTTTAGAATGTTGCGTGCATGATGTTCTTTAGGCACTAGTTAACAGATACCAAGAACAATAAAGTTACGTTTTACCCAATGTCTGACAACGCCACAGTTATTATAAGTTTGAATTTGAATTTAAAGGTTTGAAGGTAGGCTAATACGATATCCGTAAACATACTGCATCTGTGATTAATACATTCTGAATTATATTTTCACCTTATGAAAACTGACGCATTTATATTATTTACGAGTATCTCAAACTCGCAAATACTATTATATACGAACAGTTCCCTCAGTTAGGTCTTAGTTCATTTCCTGCAGAAATAGACAATCACCATTGTTAGTAAAAGAGAAGACTGAATAAAATATATCAAGTTTATGTTAATTGACCGAATGAATGAATGGTTTATGTTAAATAACAAATAGGCTAAAATAGAGCCATTAATTGTAAAAAATATCGCAAATTAATAAGAATTAACAAAAATATAGAACGAATATAATTTTTCACACCTATAACTTATTGCTGATTGGCAAAATGATCTAGCAATAACAATAAAAAATACTAGTTTAAAATAATTATACAACGATTAACGGCTCACAATATCCTACATATTGTGAGCCGTTTTATCGGTTACTACTTGTATCTTTCGTATAATAAATACAATATGGATTGCTGAGTTCTCAAAGCATTTTCTTTTATGTAAAGGCAATGTAGCGAACATCTTGTCATATAAAATATTATAAACAACAAAATGGGCTTGGTTTTTTTTGTACCTTACTACGTGTCAATAGTGTCAACAGTTTTGAAATATACTACAGCGTCTTATACACCCATCCTACAGCCATTGCCTAGCAATAATTTCAAATAGGAATGCAGGTACATCTTCAGTAATCGAAACAATCATTAACTTTGAAATTGTTCCTAAAATACATAAACTAGGATACATAGTATTTACGTACTTAATAATTATGAACTAGAAGTGGATACTTAAGAAGGGCAGTTGGGATTGTCTAGCCTACAATGTTTAGTCAGCCCGATACAACTCTGGAGATCGATCCAACATATTAGAGCGTCAAGGGCACCACCTAACAGTAATAATGAATACAGAACTATAATCTCAATCGAAAACCTAGTTTTATACTATGGTATTCTATTTAATCACAATAAAGTGTGAATCGAATAAAGTTATTAACAATAGTTCAATGTATTACAGATTTAAGAAAATACAGGTACTTAAGAAGGTAAAAAAGTTCAAAAACGAACTGTGAAATGCAAAAATAACAGAAATTTCCAAACTTAACAGTATAAAATTAGGTTTTCGTATGAAATTAGCCTCTTGGAGTAATCAACTCAAAACACTATCCAGTATTAGTGTTGGGTGGCACCCTTGAACGACTAATTTGTTGTGAATTTGGAACAAAATTCGATTCCTAATTGTTAGGATATAAGTATATCAACCAATACTGGTCTAGTGATACGAGTGTTGTTACGACGCTCTTCGTTGACTACCGACGCTGGGGACAGACTCAATGCGTACTTACCGTGGGAAGAGATTGTATTACTAACAAGCAGTACCTATAGCTATTCAACACAGACGACAAAACTGTGTATTTGTAGATATTATATTAAATACTAGATGTTACCCGCAACATCGTCCGCGTGGCTTTTAACTTTTGTTTTATGAAAATATTTTTTTATTTAAATAAAAGTTAATGCTTATATCATTAGCTATCTCCTCGAGTGAAAGTTCCTTTAAAATGGACTTAGGCATTTCAGAGATTAGCAAGAACAAACAAACAGACAGATGACAACATTTTTTTAAATACAATTTAGATGTAATTGCTGTATATATTTAGTAATGTATTTAGTAACAAGTGTGAATTTGATACTACAAACGGACACTTCAATTTCTTTTAAATATATTTCTCTATAGATAGAAATACATTTCTACCATTTGTCAGTAATTTATGCAAATAAATAAAAGTGCCGGTTTGTAATATCAAATTAACAGCTTTGCTAACTAAATCCAAAACATAACGTAAACGTAGCGTATTACGAAAAACACGTTTTGATATGACGTCCGTGATATCACTCATTCATTGCGATTCCAGAGGACTAAGATGCCTCGTTTTCGGTCTCGTTTACTGCCTAATCGTATCCTACAATCCAAACATAGCTTACGCCGAAAGCATAGATATTCTGTAACATGCTTTTTTTCGTGCATCAGTGAGACTTTTTAAACCATTTAAAACGTTATTTGATTTTCTTCTTTAATTCCAGGATATGAAAATAACTGAAAAAAGATGCAGTGAATGGTTTCTAAAGTCTATAACCTGCCTGTTTGACATTTAGAACAAAAAGTGGAGTGGGAAGTCATAAGTGTAGGAAGACACAGAAATGAAAATATTAATCTCAAATGTTATAAAAACTAGTAAACTAAAATTAAAAGTAACTACTTAAACGAGCAATTTTTCTATGTTCAAAAGTGAGATATTGAGCATCTATAGAATAGAATAGAATAGAAAATCATTTATTCAAATAAATTTAATTTAAGCTCTTTTGAATTGTCATAACAATTTGTTTTTTATCTACCACTCGTTCGGAAAGCTGTCTCATCACAAGAAGAACAAGCAAGAAACTTGCGTGTATACACAAGTTTATAAAATAATAAAGACATCAGAACGAGACTTTGTGTAGATTTTTATGTAGTAGCTATAAATATGCATAAAATAAAGTAATTATTTGTGTACTTATTGATACTACAATGAATTTCATATTTAAAACAGACTATAAAAACATATAAGTACTTAATTTATTTCATAAATCATCATTCATAGTAGTTTGTCAATTTTGAACAAAGATACCACCATACCATACTGAGGAGAATATATGGATTGAATTAATAATACTCATCACTAAAGTGTCAGAATATCTGCATTATCTGTGAATTTTTAAGTATCATTGATTAATATACAATTATGAATGATTAAGTATATAAAAAAGAATGTTGTAATAAACTAGTATATAATTCATACAACTTTAAATTATCATTTAACCAGTAATTAAGTATTGACTGTAAAAAAGTATTAAGAAACTACAGAACTGAAATGTAAAGTCATAAATTATATATTCAAGTATAATGTTATGGTATAGATGATGGTTTCATTCCATAGATTCATGGTTAAGTTGGCTATAATGACTCTCAGTAATTATTTAAAAATATTGTAAATCAGCAGTTATATGTGACTCTGTTTTGATTCTGGTCAGAGATAGCCTATGTCCATCCACAATGTATTGTACATTGTGGATTCATAGCAAATTTAAATAAACAGGCAGACACACCTATACATTTATAATATTCATATGAATATTATAAATGCTGAATAAATAACAGAATATTAAAAATGTTATATTAAGTTAGTTACTAAATTTTTCTTCTAAATTTACAGATGCAGAATACATACAAACATTTTGAGACGTAGGTACTGATATAATTAAATTGTTTATTTTCCTTACTATAATGTAACATACCTTTTGCTTGTTGCTAATATATCATATACTACAATATTCTAATATGTAACAACGTCATAATAATAATGAATAAATACTGAAGACTGGCTACTATCAATAGTCATCATGATCATCATATTGTTGTTTTATGTTGTAATGATAGAATGGTCAACCCATAGGTTGCAAAATATTCATTTTTCTTAGACTTAATTAAACCAAATAGATATATAATTATTGCTTATCACCTTAACAGATAACTGATATCAGGATATTAAGTTAATGTGTCATCTACAAGTAAATACTTATTTTACTACAATGAAAATATTTTTTAATGTATGCTAAAACAAATGTAAGTAATTATTTAAAAACTTTGTGAAATATTTCTTAAAATGTTACTAAATATATCAAATGTATGTTTGTGAAAAAAAGTTGGCGTCATCAACAAAAAAAAGTGTAATAGACAATATTGTTAATACATTTCTAACTGTACATTAATTATTTCATGTCAATTATATATTATTTCTGAATTACAGAAATTTAATTTAATAAGCGTACCAGCTTTGTTGATACAATATGAATTTGTGTTATTTACAACGAAGTGATAAGGTGAACGCCCACGACTAAATTTCAGTCTCTTTTGTAGGTTACCACAAAACTCACCTTCGGAAGATCCCGTATATGATTGGCATCCAAAAGAAGTTCCTCAAGACTCCTGGAATATCGCAATATGTCTTCAGGCACTGTTGGCAACGAGCAATGCCGCTTGTCTACACATTCCACTTGGCGATTACATTTGAACAAAGGTATACATCGAAACATGTTGGACACTACACTTTAAACAAACTATAATTTGATAGATCACTATTACAATACATATTTGAGCACTTTCGAGTATATAACACTATTTCATTATTGTAAAATGTTATTGATAATTTAAATAATCGAAAGATCGTAACTTACACCTCACCCTAGAAAATAGAAGCCACAAACTGTCAGTGTTACCATAAATAAATTAATTCCTTACTATCCCTAAAAAAAATCAGATTATAGATAGTACAGTATAGTGTATAGGTAAAAATAATGGTAATAGAAACATATTAAATCTTATAATAACATAATGTATTTCAAGATGAGTTACCTACGGGAAACGAATACGAGAAACCAAACACTTGTGTTAGTACACAATAATGTATTTGGCAACCCAACTAAAAACTTAATTATGACTGACGTCGACTTATCTAACTGACAATACTGACATATTAAAGAAACTGACAGGAAATGTCCGCCTCACGCTGCTAAAATTCACAGCACGGGACGGCACAGGTTAAGTTACTTTATGGAATTTCTGGTATCAGAATTCTAAATTTGAATGAATCTGTAAAACTTTACGAACCTTCGCACACAAGTGTGAAAACTCAGACCAGTGAATTTATTCTTCTATTGTACTTTAAGTAAACATGTATAATTTAGGATTTATTGGTGGTGGTAATATGTCCACAGCTATTGCCCGAGGAATCATAACAAACGGTTTGTTCAATATTTTGGTCCAAAAAATTATGTCTCTGTTAAACAATTCAAATGCATGCCTTATGCAATGGCAGGTACTTGCATATGTTCATGTTCTATTCTCAGTTTTAAAGTAGTTTATAAATTTTTATATATATACTCAGAGTATTCTTGGTTGTGTTATCCCTTAATAGGTTATTATCTTATTTTTTGTAACAAATTTATTATTTATTTATTTCCGTGTGGATGAATTGAAAGCATTAAAGAATGAATTATGTTGGGTGTTCTTAAATGCTACCTAACTACCAAGCCATAAATATATATATTTTTAGGAACTCTAACAAACACTTCTATTTTTAGAATCTTCTAAATTTATGCTTTTTTATACACATAATAAAACCGAATATGTTTTAACAGATGCTCACCCAGTTTCCAAAATATGGGTGTCTGGACCCAATTTGACGACTTTGAAACATTGGAGTGAATGGGGTACTAATGTTACTGTACAAAATAGTGACATATTCTATAATTGTGACATTATATTCCTGGGAATAAAGCCGGGCTTGTTATCCACTGCTATAAAAGAGTGTTTGTCTGATTCAACAGCGAGTTTATCTCAAAAAAATGTGCTATTTGTTTCAATGTTAGCTGGAATCACTATTGATCGTTTGCAGCAGGTTTGTTGAAAACAATTTAAAATAATTATTTTATTGCATAATTCTACTAGTAATTTTATTTACTAGTAGAATTATGCAATAAAATAATTATTAATATATAATTATTTTATTGCATATAATTATACTTTATACTTTTCTAATTAATTAAATTGTAAAAATGTATAATTGACTGGTTACAAAGACATAATTTAAAAATTAATCTGACTAAAACAAATATGATGACATTTAATAGACACTCAATTCAAACCGCTACAATGAACATTAACTATTTAGGACATAAAATACTTAACATTGATAATACAAAATTTTTGGGTATTTATATTGACGATAAATTAAAATGGAAGTATCAAATCGAAAAAATTTGTAAAGACTTAAATCGATTTTCATTTGCTCTATACAATCTTTCAAAGGTAGTAAGTATAACTACTCTTCTAAGTGCTTACCATGCGTACGTCTCATCAACTTTGAGATACGGTATAATTTTTTGGGGTAACGCTACGGGTAAGGATTTCGTATTTAAAGCACAAAAAAAATGTGTCAGGGCGATGTGTAATTTAAAAAATACTGATAGTTGTGTTCCATATTTTAAAAAATACAATCTACTTACGGCTCCATCCCTTTACATTTATGAGGTGTCTATTTTTATTAAGACGAACTTTGAACTTTTTAATAACATCAAAGGAATACGTAATAATGATAAATTGTGTAATTTTCCGGCTAAAACTGCTATGTCGTGTAATAGTATTTTAGGAATGGGACCTAGAATATATAATAATCTTCCAAGGGCATTAAAATCTATTGGTAGTATCCATCAATTTAAAACTGCTCTTAGAAATATACTGATTGGTAAAACTTACTACACGGTTGGTGATTTCCTGACTGATACATTGACGTAAAGACAATTGATTAATGACTATCGGTATGATGACGTAGTACAGTAATTTTATTTCATTAAACATTAATTGTACCTACAATTTGAAATTTTGCACACCTCTTACGAGGTTAATGTACGGATCTCAACAACATATTTATAACACCTTATTGTATACCTACATTTGGCAAATAAAGTATTATTATTATTATTATTATTATAAGTATTATAACATAACTAAGAATAGAACTTACAAGTATGTAGTTTAATTGAATTTGAGGTGTGATAGGAGGGTATAAATTATGTTTCATAAAAATCTCTGGTAATTGTGGTCATAGCTTATAACTTTTAATAGTGTTGATATTATTATTACTAACACTATGAGTATGGAACTAATAAATTAGTAGTTAAAAGAGAAATTTGGTACAGCTTGTCAGTATTTGATAGAAGACTACTACAAATATTTAAATACTGATCATCATGTTTATGTTTTCTTTTTAGGAATTGAGCACATTATCCCAGAATGTGAGTGTTGTGCGCATAATGCCCAACACTCCAATGAGTGTTGGTGCTGGGGCTTGTTTATATACACCTGATCAAACTGTTAGTTCACAGCAATGTGAACTACTGGAGAAATTATTAAGTAACTGTGGTATTTGTGAAAAAGTACCAGAATCACTAATCAATCCACTTGGTGCTTTGACAGCATGTGGACCTGCTTTTGTAAGTACATTCTTTTACTTTTTTAAAACCAAGAAATGCAATGTGATTATTGACAACATTTTTGATAACAGAATAAAAATGTAACTAAAGTTCTAAAAACACTAGCCCATCCCTCTCATCTATATTAGTGTATTACTCCTTACATCATGTATTTTTTATGTCTAAGAATAGAAAAGTCTTCAGTCAATATTTTTTTAATTATATAACACTGGCTGACCCACACAACTTTGTATGCATACAAGGGATGGGCTAGTGTTTTTAGAACTTTAGTTACATTTTTATTCTGTTATAAAAAATGTTGTCAAAATGTTGTCACATTTACTTGACATTTATCATTATATTTTGCCCAATTTATATAACATATTTTTAAATTATAACCTATGTATAAGCTATATTACTTTAGTTTCATCAAAATCTTGAGTAGTATTTGCATGAAAGAGTAACAAACATCCATCCATCCATACACATTAACTTTTGCGTTTATAATGTCAGTAAAGTCAATTAACATCAGTGGTGTTCATCATTTCAGGTGCATATTTTTTATTAGATAAAATAAAATACTGTGTTTTCTGTATTTCAGATATATGTTGCAATTGAGGCACTAGCAGATGGAGCTGTAAAGCAAGGTGTACCAAGACAAATAGCCATTCGTTTAGCTGCTCAAATGGTGGCTGGTAGTGGTAAAATGGTAGTTGAATCGGGGAAGCATCCTGGCCTGCTGAAAGATGAAGTATGTTCTCCTGGTGGTTCTACGATATGTGGTGTGACTGCTCTAGAAAATGGAAAATTGAGGTAATACAATCCCAATATTTTATTAATAGATTTAATCTTTTCGTTTGATCTAACAGATTTTTAACAATAAGTTTCCAGTAGATTTCGAAACAATTTTCTTTTTATTACTTAATTATTTTTCAATGTAATTGTAATTGTAATTGTATGTTGGACTTCATTCTCCGCAATTAGCCTCTCATTCGGGCCGTTGTGCGTGTAGAGCCAGACTACTAAAGTAGCCAGCCAAGCTCCTCCCAAAAGCGCAGAAGACTCCTGGTGTCTTCGCAGGCTTCACGGAGCGACCTCACCGTTCCGAGGATTTGTTTTCGTTGTTGGGCCACTGCCGTGCACTCCAGGATTACGTGAACCGCCGTTTCTTCAGCTTCAAAGCAGCCCCGACAAAGGGGGCTGTCTGTAGCATCAATTTTGTATAAGTGTTTGTTTAGGGAACAATGGCCCGTTATTGTCCCTATCATTATTTTGAGGTTATGTCTATCTAGATTAAGTAGACGTGTTGTTAACCGATGGTTCGTTTTTGGAATTGCCACTTTAGATTGTTTGTTTTTCAATGTAATGTGGTCATGTTTTAAATTTTTTAATCCTTTATTACATGTGGAGATATTACGATATTGGCATTAATATTACCTAATGCATGATGTCAATATGAAAAAAAAAACAATACCGCCACAAGTATTATACTATGAAATTATTCCTTTTAACCATCCCCCACTTGTACTCTTCAAATGTATATTATAGCTGGTATGACAATCACTAGGTTGTAATTAATATGAAATTTGTCTACTTATAATAGGTATATAATGTAATACTATCTTACAATTCTTTTTCAGGGCCACATTAATTAGTGCAATTGAAGCAGCAACAGTTAGAACAAAAGAAATTGGAAAGAATTAACAACGATAACTAAATTAGCAACCAATTTTCTATATGTAGCCTTGCTAAGTAGTCATAATTTTGTTGTTATATAATATATATGCCTGAAGTAGTTTGTAATATTTTTTGTTCATAAGAAAGTGATTTCAATATAACTTATTTAAGTATCTATATATATTAGTAATATATGTGTGTCAGAATAATATAGGAAATAATATATTTATTTACTCCATGTGGAGGTTAAACCACTATTTAAAAATTCTAACTTTGCTATACAAGTAAAACATAATGCTTAAAAGCACTTGAATATTTTATGTTACGCTAAAAAAACTCGTAATATATATTGGTAAATATATGTAGACATATTTACTTTTACGTATTGTAAAGTCCTGAACTGTTATAAAAAAGATGTGGCCAGTAATTTCATAAAATTAAATATACTTAGTATAACTATATAACAACAGACAGTATTACTAAAACTAAAAACATGACCATACCTGTGGATATTGAATGAAGGAAAATTAGTATTACAACAGTATTACTGTAATAATAAAATGGAAATTGTTAATTTTTTTCTATGTGATAATGCAGTAAGAATATAAAATACACTACATTTTATGCCATATCTAAGTTACTTGCTAGGCTAACTATTTGTGATATCTATGAATCTGTTTTTTTTATGTTAATTCAAAGCTATACTGAACATTTACTGTAATTCTTTATAAATTTGTATTTCTAGAAATGTTAAGAAAATATTAAAAATATTATTTAATTCTGTGTGATTGGAATCAATGATTTTGATATTTTTTTAACATGATTCTAGTCAATTGATAAGTATTTAATATAATCTAACTAAATTTTAATTGTGATAATTGTGAATCTCTTTTTATTGCTGTCTCTCTTTTGCAATGTACAGATATTAACCAAACAAGTTGTACCCATATTTTACTTTTATATATACTCAAGAAGTGTATTTGTCGCATATTTTAACTTTGGGTCTAAGTATTTATTCAAATGTTAATAAGAGTATTTTAGGTAATAATATGAAAAAGTATTTACAAGTATAGATGTTAGTGCTTAACTTTCAAGTAAATAAATATTGTTAAATTCATGAGCAAATATTATTATTTTATTTATATAAAAATATAGAACTCCTTATTTACTTATATATTTTTATTTGAAAAAAGTATTATGAAGAGCAATGTGTATTATATAATATTTGCGCCGTATAACTTCTACTCACTTATAAATAATATATGAAATACTGAAAATATATGATTGTTAACTGTTAATTAATAACTAGTAATCAGTTAAGTGAGAATGAAAGTTAGACGAAGAGAGAAGTTAGAGTATTGTATTAAATCGAGTCCGTTTATGATGCTGTAATGTTTACGTAACGAAAATTTTACTTTATATTGATAAACCATATATACTATACATATATCACCATAAATATATATGGTAATCACTATGTAAACCAATTACCTAAACAAAATTGTCACTTTAGCCCGTAACAGAGTGAGCAACTGAAATTTTATTTCTGATTGATGAAGTGTCACGTGCACTACTTAGTAGTACACATGATTCTTTATGACGGCATAGGAGCACTAAATAACTGACAGTTTCAAGATAATCAGGATTTTACTGTTTAGTTTTGGGATGTTTATATGTTGTCGCAGTAAAAAGTTTCTTTGAATAGCTACCTAGTAATCAACAAAACCGTGTTTTACTGTTTTATTCTTTTTAGGTAGCTATTCAAAGAAACTTTTTGATAAGTAAGGAACAATTTCCTTACTTATCTACGTGTGATATTTTGAGTAATACCTACTACCTTTTTGTAATTTTAATATGTTATTTAATGCTTATAAATATATGAGGTAGGTTGCTTTTTATTGTTATAAATAATTCATAATACTTCACATTTTAGGTGTCTTGAATAAGTTTGGTAGTGTGTTAATTTACACTTCTGACCCAAGCGCTAAAAATTTTTACTTGTAAATTGTTTTAGTCCACGAGTAACAGTACGTACAAGTTTTAGCACATGCCAACTCGGCAGTGACGTTGACGACAAGCACCAAGTACCAATTTTTATATAATGAATAAGGTCTCTCACACATTTAATGTTAATATGGCATACAATGTAAATAAAATTGGTACTCCTAAAACAAATGTCTTCAATTTATCAAGCTTACTTGCTACTTAACCGACTTATATTATAGCAACAATATATTTCAATTAAAAAAGCACATATCATAGAAAATAATTATCGGAGAAACTGTACGTACCAACTAGGCGAATTAAGAAAATGTTATATTTTGCTGAAAATAAAATAAACCTAAAAGTCGACTTACTTTTTTATTTAACTAGACTTGTGGAATCTGCTTAAAAATAGAAATATCTTCAAGTCTATTCCGTGGTGCTGTCATGTATATCTCTTATAAAGGTATAGAATCTAAATTAAATTATATGTAGGTATCGAATATGAATAAAAAATGCAACTAATGGGATGATGTTATGTTTCTGATGATGTTATGTTATGTTGATGAGATCAATTTGAGCGTATCTGATAATGTAGCTACTGTAATCAGAATTGTTGGCAATCGATAAAATCACACTCACTTTTATTTAGGTCTATAGTAGGTAATCTTAAATCATTAGAGATAATTTTAAATTAATAAAGATATTGTTTTGCGTTGCTAGTAGTGAATTAAGTTCTCAATATGCAGTAAATACATCTACTACTCTCACATAACTTTCTTTTTTTCATTGAAGGAAATAATTATCTATATTTTGCAAAAATATAACCCATCTATGTCCTCTAAAGGGCTGAAGTTAAAAAAATACTACATAAGCTTTTAGATTAATAGGGTTATTTATATTTTTACTTTTGGCAGGCATTAAGGTGACCAACCTTAATACCTTCATTTGCGAAAATTGTAATAAAGCATACCTATCTGTTTATTAGATAAAATTACTGGATTATTAGATAAATAATAATAATAATCTCAGAACAATTCGCACAGCGCCATCTCGACCCAAGTTAAGTTAGCTAAAGCTTGTGTTATGGGTACTAGATAACTGATACAAATACATAGATATTTTTGTAAACACATACATATTATCACCTACATAGAAAACACCCAAACAAATACAAACAATCATACTCATGAATACAAATGTTTGTGCCGTGATAGGAATCGAACCCGCGACCATCGGATGTAAAGCATTGTACTAAATAGCTAGACCACCGTCGGTCGTCAATTAAATATTTATATATTTAGATTGTCAGTGGGATATAACAAGAAATAAAATACTAATAACTTAGTTTTCTGGTCTTCTGTTATTTGTTTTAATAATCTCAAATTGTACCAATTTTACAATTTATTTTAAAGTGACACATCTAAAACTCTTCATCTGATGTTACAATCTCTCACATGATTTCCTATTTTCGTTGGTATTTTCGTAGTTATGTAACGGATCCATATTTGTTATAATATTGATATCTTTATATCAAATATCGTATTGTATCATTCCTCTAGGTTGGCTATTTCAAATACCTACCAGCGAGTAGTACGACTGATGATTGTTTTCGATCCAGAGTCCCGCTGCTCATAACAAAAATCACTACTACAAAACATGCAAACCATTTAGTTAAGTGGATGTTTCTAATCATTTTCCTCTGTGATACAGTATATTTTTCTGGTTGTTTGAGCAGGCGTATAAGGATGATACGGATGCATACAAGGTGTTCTTTTTGTAAAAATGAATAGAGACACTCGCCGCGCTAAACTAACATCAATATCCAAATCAATGCTTTTATATCTAGGTACGTCCATTATAGGAGCCTGCTCTTCTTCTTCATCATCGTCTGTGGTTTTAAAACAATTTATTTTGTCCATGCTGTTCCGAAATTTTCCTAAGTTTGGCCTCAGCTTTGTTTGAAAACTCGGCAGTCGTCGCAGCAACGAATTTTTTCTTTTCTTTTCATCGTGTATGTTTACTTTCTCTTTGGGCTCGCATTCACTGCTTGTTATCTGTGTGTCCTCAATTTTTACTTCTTTTACGTATTCTTTAGTTGTTTCAGCCAAAGCAACCAGTGGATATTCCTCAAAACTCATCACGCAATACTTCGATTTTTATTCATGTTATATTGCTTGGTTAGTTGACTATCGTGGAATGAGCTCTTGGCATTGATTGAGCATGACGCACCTACCTATCTCCAAGATAAGATGTAGATTATACAGATTAGCTTTATATATAAATATATATTTATATCATAAGTATATTACACATAAACAATAGTCGTATAATGCGTACAAGCTGTTTCTTTTATACAACTTACCAATTTTTTTGTAAGAGTTCATGTATTATGATTTTATTCCTCGTACATGTTTTTCAAATAGCGGGTTAAAGAACTTATTAAGTTTCTCGTTATTATGAGTCCCATATTACACCTTATGTCCCGTTTTCAATAAGAATCTTACTTTTTTATTTCTATATTTCTAAATCCCGCTTCGCCGGACATAAAATCTAGGAACACTGGTACATGGCAACCTTGTGTGCAGTCGTCGAGGTCTTTATCTAGACTTCCGTGACTGCCAATTGGTCACATAAAATGAATATAATAAGCTTTCCAACAGATTTAAAAAAGAGGAGTTTCTGTAGTCTACTTATTTTTGTGCATGTGAATACACACGGATCCCATAGTACCTATTAGGATTGTAAGTAGTGAATTTATTTTTTATTGAAAATAAAATTGTACACGCTTAACCTTAACTTCAATATGAGGACCGAGAATATGTGAATAAAAATATATTGTTTACCTAACTGGTTTCAACTAACAGCTCATTCGTATTCATGAATATATATTTTTTATATTATTGAAATTGAAAGCAAGAACTACAATACAATCTTGACCATTGCATGTTCAAGCAAGTGGCCTTATTTTTTCCTTGCATTTGTCGTGTTTGTGCTACGCCTGACTCAACAAGGTTAGTTGAATGCGCTCTTGTTTTCCACAGTGACGTAGCTTACTAATTGCTTGTCTCGTTCTCTCGTGCCAAACTGTATGAAAGAAAAGCATCGAAACTTGGTATTATGCGCAGGCGTCGCAGTGTCGCGTCATCGCAGTTTTCCCAACCACTCCAACCAGTATGCGAGGCCCAACCAAGCAATCGTACTTGACTCATTCATAGTGTAATTTGTGTGTTTACAACGCGTATTTTCAGTATTCGCGTTCACTGTTAATCAACTAAATGTCTATTTGACACGGTTCAAACAAGGTCAGTTGGTTTAATTTGTTTATTGGGTATTGTAAATATTTATTATTATGGTATATGGTGTTATTTAACAAAATAATAATGGTCGTCCACTAACCATATATCTACCTAGATAACATTGCAGATAAGTTAAACAATATTTGGTAAGAGACTGAATGGTCATGTGATATTACTTTTGAGGCGCGTTTCATTTTATCGATCTACCTACACGGTCGTAATGTGTATTGTGTAGATAAATTACTATCTACTATAGAATTCAGGATTAGTAATACCTATTCTTTGAATTCTTTTCATTTTACATACTCTCTAGCTAACACTGTATTTCGTTTGTGTCAGTTTCATCAGTTGCAAAATGTAATATAGAAATTTTAAAAAAAAGTGCATGTTTTTAAAAATTGTCTTGATATGCACGTAAGTAGGTAGGTATTTAAAATATTTGGTTCAAGATAATAAAAGTGTTAGTACAAAAGTACTTAGGCACTCATACATTTGGACAGAAACAGAATCCGATTAACAAATGTAATTTTTTAGAGAGTGGGAAAGAAAAATATCTTCTGTTTCAATTTAAATTTCTGACTTACTCTCTGATGAAACAAACAACGATATCAAAACCAAAAATTAATCCGAGAGAGGGCGCTAGACTCTGTCACGTTCAATTCTGTACCCAAATGTAGACATATATAGTATTGTCCGTTCACAATGTCATCGATAATTGACAATACCTTGGATTAGCCCATTCAGAATAATAGTCATGACCGTAAGTTTCTTAGTAGGAAAGGGAGTGTCATAATTAGCATTATTTCGTAAGCCTATCTACTCTTGGGTAGGCTACATATCTTCCACTTTGCCGGATTAAACGGTAAGACCATTTGAAATCCACGTCCTTCAGTTGTTTCCGTTGTTTAACCTGTTGTCCGATGAATGATATTTAATGACGGATTGTCACTTTTGAAATATTATGAGGATATTCCCGACAGTATTGAAAAAATGACAACCGGTCCTAATAGATCACCTTGTTCCTGTCCTTTCTTATCATGTCCTAAAACACCTTTTTTTTTTATGAGGATATGTCCTAAAACACCTAATGTTTATGCTAATGCGCTTCGCTCGTTTTACTTACAATTCTAATTGTGCATTTAAATATGTTGTTACATTTCACACAATAGAAACATTTCAATTTATGAATATTGGTACATAATGTTTGTATTGGCCTGGCTAATTTACAATGTATATTACATAAGTACGTATTTATAAAAACAATGTATTGTTCATAATTTGTCTAATATCTATCTGTTGAAAAATCTGTGTATGTAATAAAATCTAGGGACTATACGCTCCAATGCGACGAAATATTAGTTAGTTATAATCATCAGTTAAACTAGTTAAGTTTGGGACGTTCTATAACAATAAGTTCGAATAGGTTATGTTATAAGAATTTATTACATTTTTCATTAGCTTAACGATCTCATGAGATCATACCCAATCAACCTGTCATACGTAGACACAGAACTATACTGCGTTAAAAAGTAGTTTTAAATGTATATTAAATTGTCATTAAATTAATGTATATGGCAATTTTGAATTACCAATCCACTTTATCAACAGAAAATTTACTGATGTACATATACTGATAGACATAGATATACATATATCAAATCTGTACACAAATAATACAAAAAACTTGACGTTCATTAGCGTCTAAAATATCCTACGTAGAAATGTTTTTAATTTGATTTGATTTGGGACACAGTACTCAACTTATAGTTGTTGTGTATTAAGACTCCAAGTAAAGCAGAAAGTAGAGTAGGCCTTGTTCAAATTCAAAAGAATCCACTCATATTTTATCAGTCATGGTTATAGATATATCTAAAAACCATTGATAACAGGTTACTTTCCTCAAAATCTAACTCCCCATAGAGCAGAATTGTGGTCACTAGTTATTTATTAGAAGTGGTAGTGACAACTGTCCCTACTCTTATGGAAAGCAACTGTCTATAGCTAACAACTACATGAATATCAGTGTTTTAAACGTTTTCACGGTTGTTTACAATTTTACACGTTATATAAACGGGATATTTACCTACGTAATATTAGTAAATATCCCGTTTATACATGGTGTACGCTATGAATGTGTACTGTCTAGCCTCTGTCATGTGTTGGTAGTACTGCAAACATAGTGTCAGGAAGTATGATAATATAATTCTACTTGTATAAGATAATATTGTAAATAAAAATATCTACCGACGATTACTTTGGTACAGTAATAAACACACAAGGTTTATTTTTAATTGCATCAGTCGGATCTCTAGTTACTGTGTTTAATAATGCTATTCAAATTTAAAAAAGCATAGCGATATCAGATTTTAGATCAGGTCAATTTAAAAAAAATATATCCATCTCCTGGGTACGCCCATGATAATGAATAATTTAGTTGTGAAGATCATGTGAAGTTAAAAGTAGGACCAAGTTAACTTGTAGATCAACCAAATAAATTGTATTTTAGAAATAACAAGTTTAGAAAAGAACTTCTTATTTCGTCAATTAAATATAATATAAATATATAAATAAAATAGGTTTTTAATCGAGTACTTAACATTTGGGAAATTTATATTTTTTTATAATACTTATCATTTTGAAAAACAGACATTTACCATGAATTGACATAAGCAGGTACATAAATGATTGCTCAAATTAATGTACTTACACGTACTTCATACCAACGTCTCTTTTCTGGTGGTACTAGGTATATGATATACCATTTCTATGCCCCTCCGATCGAACCCCCGTCCATTTCAAACGGGGATTGAAATTACGACGAACCTGAGCTGAGGTTCGAACTCATAGCGGTACCCTCAAACTATAGTCGTATCAGTCAAGCGGGAGTTGGTCTTCAGCTGCATAAGTCCTTCCGCTGGTGTGAAGTATCAACTGCACTCGCATCATATTGTCCAGTGATGTTGTATCTAAAGGCCATGTGTCCGAAAAAATAATTCTATGATTCATATGACTATGAAAATGAGCCGTTGATAAGCTTTGAATGTAAATTTATCTAATAAGTACGTATATCCGTAAATAGTTACATCAATAAACGTAACGTCATTTAAATTTGTTTACAATATTTCTGTAAGTACCTACCTATATTCGGAAAATTGCTAGCATAGTGATTAACAATGACTACCCAATTCTTATTTAACGGCATGTATATCCTTACAAATATTAAGTTACATACGTGACTAATAAATGATTTTATCGTTTTATCAATAGATAATTTCTCGACGGTGTATGATAAATTTGCTGTAGTGATAACATTCCGCCATTTTGATTTTGTGAAAAAGCGATTCTAGTATTTATTTAATTGTGGTTAAAACGCAAAAGAGCATGATTGGTAAATCCATATCTATTGTTTAAATTAGTTGCTTACTTCAACAATTTTGTTCATTTTAGAAAAGATATAACGCGAATATGGGCATATGCTTCTCATTTGACTGCGGGGAATGTGACGTGTGTTGCAATCCTTGTTGTATGGCATTGAGTGCCTGCTGTCTTATACCTTGCCTCTGCCCGAACGCTTGCGGACAGCAACAGCAACCACCACAGACGGTCGTGGTTCACCATCCACCGGTGATAGTTGAGCAACCACCCCCACCACCCGGATATCCGTACGGGCCCCCACCGCCCGGTGGTTATCCAGGTTATCCGCATCCAGAATACGCGCCTCAACCGGGATACCCGCCTCATCAAGGTTATCCTCAACCTATGTATAGATGAAAGGTGTAGATTAATTAAGGTAAGTGTATATTTTTTATTACTTCTGTGTAATTTATTGTTGGTTGTGGACGACCATTATAAGTTTAATTTATCATTTTATGCTTTCAGTTTAATTAGTGC